ACTTACATAATGTTTACTGTTCTAATATTATATAAACTCATTTTACATTATATGTATACAGGGTGATTGTTAATTCATTCCACAGAAAGGCGTTTCGTAAAAAAAAATTACACTCTGTATAATAGGGAATTTGTTATTAATACCTAGAAAACAATACTATTTATGGAATACAAGGTGATAGACACATCTAATTCGTTTTTGGTGCAGCAATAATTAAAGAAATATTCCTTTTTCAGAATCACCCTATATTTTTCAATTCGATTCGTCAAAATGTACGAACTATTTATTTTTGTTATCAGCTTTAAGCAATTAATAACTTCATATAATTTCATAATTTTAGTATGACCCGTTTTTGAGATTCCAATATATATAGTGAACCATTAAATATCAGACAATTTAGGATATTCGCACACTGCAATGTTTTATTTGCTGAAAAATTATCGGGGGTAATACCACAAGAACTCAGATTTAGCCGGATATTTTTGTGGTTATTTTCGAATACTTACTTTCATTGGTAATTGCCTAATGAAAGTAAGTATGAGAAAACCACCGTAAAAAATATCCTGCTAGATCTGAGCTCGCGTGGTATTTGGTAAGACCATTCCATGAATAGAAAAATTAATTCAATTAAACTTTATTTTTTTTTGTATTTTTCTGGAGTTGATTTTTCAATCTCCCTTACTATTTATGCCTCGCAAATATTAATAAATCTCGATATACTTACTGAAATATTACAAGGAATATTGATTGCTGTGTAATTCTGTTTTTGACCTTTACAATTGTCAAACTGATGCGACGCACAACGCTTGATAAACGAACAATAAATGCTACTGTAATGTAATTTATTCGATATTTTTATCCACGCATTTCTGTTTCTTCCTATTTAGCCGATTGTAAACTACGATTTTTGTACTCACAAATGGGAATTATTAGACCTACATACATGAGTGGATATGTCTGATATTTAATATGGTTCACTATAGGTATATTGGAATCTCAAAAACGGATCATACTAAAATTATGAAATTATATGAAGTTATTAACTGCTTAAAGCTTATTACAAAAATAAGCAGATCGTACATTTTGACAAATCGAATTAAAAAATATAGGGTTATTCTGAAAAAGGAATATTTCTTTAATTATTGTTGCATCAAAAACGAAATAGATGTGTCTATCACACTGTATTCCATAAACAGTAATGTTTTCTAGGTATTAAATGCATAATTAATATTAATAACAAATTCCCTAATGTACAAAGGTAATTTTTTTTTAAGAAACGTCTTTCTGTGGAATGAAATAACAATCACCCTGTATACATATAATGTAAAATGAGTTTATACAGGGTAGCTGTTAAATATGGAACCAAACCTATACTGCTTAAACGGTTTAACATACAAAACCCAAAATTTCAGAATTTGAACTAAATATATTTGCTCTTATTTTAGCTTAAAAATAATTTTTTTCATAATGACAAAGTTTTAAGCATGGCCGCCATCTTGATTTTTTTTAAATATTATTATGTCATGTGATATACCATTTGAAAGGGTTTAACACCCTGATTACAAAAATGTATCACAAATGGGGTCTAAACACAACAGAAAGGACATGACCTATGTTGTTATTTAAAATTTTGTAATTATAAAAAAAATAATTTTTGGGCTAAAATATGCGCAAATATATTTAGTTGAAATTCTGAAATATTGGGTTTTGTATGTTGAAACGTTTAAGCACTATAGGTTTGGTTACATCTTTAACAGCTACCCTGTATAATGTTAGAACAGTAAACATTATGTAAGTTTTTATTTTTGACCATGTTTTTATTCCATATCAGAATATCTCAGAATTTCAAAAATTCCCCCTCATGTAACTGAGTACCACCCTGTATATGTTTACATTTTGAACTACTTATGTGTACGTTTGCGTTAGACTAGGACATAGCAATGCTACAATTAACTAAAAATGCTTATTTTTTTTTTTTAATTAAGTTACGTAGTTTCAAGAAATACGATTTCTCGACTCTAACACTAGTCATAGGATTAAATTGGTCCCATGAACACTTTTGGTCAACAAGTCGAGTACAACATCATATTCAAAATTTATTACATTTGACGGAACGCCACTTTGCCATTACAAAAGATCGGGTAAAATAATTTTATAAAATGTGAATATTGTTAATGTGTAAATAATATTGTAACTATTAGTTTGAATGATTTATTAAAAACATTGTGAAAAGATTAAAAGAAACATGTGCTTATCGTAGCGTTATAAAAAAGAATGAGTCTCTCATGCCTATCAAAGTGGTCAGACAACCCCTTCCACGCTTCGTCCAGCGCACTAGTCGGTACTGTTGGCAGTGTGACGGTGTTGCCACGTTGCACGAAAAATCACAAAACTGCGGAACAAGTATATTTCTGTGCCTAGGAGGTAAACTGCACTGTCATTCTAGTCAACTTTTTAGTACAGCAGATTAAATGTTGTTAAATTATTAAATTTCAACTAGATATGCATTTAGGACACCTATTTATTTTCACAATATTTGTATTTTTTACTAACCTAACTACTTTTTTTTAATTTGCATAAGTTGTTGTATATCGACATTTGCAGTTTACCTCCGAAGTAGTTCTACAAAATGGAATGTATGGGTTGATATTCTAAGATTATTAGTACATATCATTTTATTTTTTAAACTACTAAATGTATTTATTTACCTTGCAAAACTGTGATTCTTTTGGTAGGTTCTGAATGGGGAAATACTGTTGGGAATGCATTTGCAATTAATCGTTTTCTTGTTCCTGACTGATAAACGAATTTATCCTGGAAGTGCAGTTCACAAATTTTGTAATTTTTACTTAAGTGTTCATCACTCTTTCCCAATAAGTTCTCCCTATTTGCTACCTTAAGCCACAATTCAAGTCTGAAAAATACATACAATCATTGTACTACCATGTTATGTTAAGGTCAATTCCTATTTCACCATCAATGTCTTATACATACCTCACTGGATCTTTCACAACTGTGAACAATCCTTTTTTGCCACCTGTTCTTGAGGTACATCAACGATAAATACAAGTATATCCTCTTTCTTTTTAACGAGGCATTGTTTATAAACCTCATCTTAATACGTACAATAAAGTCTCAAATTAACAACTCCACAATTAAAAACATCAACAAAAACTAAAAATAAACCACTAAAAAACGAAAAAGTTATCAGAATATGCGCTAAAAATAACCAAAAATCCAAAACGACAAATAAAGACACGACAGGAAAAAAATATTGATTTTCTAACAGCGACAGCAGTGACAGCTTTATTCATCTGCTATAAAAGTGTGCACTGTTGCACTTCGAACAATGCTGCGTTTGAAAAATACCTCGTTTTGCTCTTTTTACTTGAAGCCGTTCTCTTAATACATCTGTGGCTACTCGATGGGATCTGCTTCGTGGTCTTTTAATGCAGAGCTGGTAAGTCGAGTAAGATCTATTTACTCCGAATTAAATTTTAGAGCTTTCGGAGTAAATGTAATTTCTGTGACAATTAACAAAGTAGATGTACTTCTCTGAGATGTAAAGATGTCGTTCGTTTTTGTTTTTTTAAAAAAATACTTATAAAAAATATCAGACAGAAATGAACACGGTTTGTTTATTTTCTAGTGAAAGCAAAAAGCGAAAATACCACAGCTAAAAATTAACTTTACTTTGCAACTTGCAACAAAAACTACGAGACGAGAGATCAAATTTGATTGAAAGAAAGGTTTAAGTTTGTTATTTTAATGAAAACCGGAAACGAGAAACGCAAACAAATCCATAGCCGTTCTTTAATTCCATATAAGCTGGAATTGCTCGATGATTACGTGACTAAAAAATCTACGAGCTCTGCTCCGCTCCGGGAGGTACTTTTCAAACGTAGCACAAGTAACAAATCTACGGCCACATACTTTGATTTTCTTTTACTATACGGAGAATGGTCGTACTGCGCAGCTTTCTGAGTGCCTTTTAAAAGGAGATGGAAAACTCCGCCATTTTGATGATTAAACGCACCTGATATTTTGCTTGCTGATGTCAGTGTCAGTGAATATTATTTTTGAAGTCGCAGTTTATTGCTAAAGAATCAGTTAGCTCCACATACTTTGATTTTCTTTTACTATACGGAGAATGGTCGCACTGCGCAGCTTTCTGAGTGCTTTTTAAAAGGAGATAGAAAACTCCGCCATTTTGAACCCTTATTACGTGTTGCCTACATCTTGGCGCAATATTTTTATTAGGTACGTTTAAATCTTTCGCTTCTGCTTCGAAATTGTCGGTTTTCTTGTTTTAATCTGACAGGTTAAAACGACTAAACCGACAATTCCGGAAGCAGAAGCGGATGATTAAAACGCACCTGATATTTTGCTTGCTGCTGTCAGCAAAGTATAT